TAGGAGCGACGCAGCCGCGGGGCCAGCAGGGCGGCTAGGCGCTGGGCGGCGGGGCGACAAGGCCACGGGTGGTTGGGCGCTAGGTGACGGGGCCGCGGGGCCAGCGTGGCGGCTAGGCGCTAGGTGGCAGGTCAACGGGGCTGCGGGCGCCTAGGCGCTAGGTGACGGGGCTGCGGGGACAGCGGGGCGGCTACGCGCTGGGTGATGGGGCGACGGGGCCACGGGTGGCTAGGAGCTAGGTGATAGGGCCGCAGGGGCGAGGCGCTAGGTGACAGGGCCGCGGGGCCACGGGCGGCTAGGCGCTAGGGAACGGGGCCGTGGGGCCAGCAAGGCAACAGGGCAGCGGGGCCCGTGGGGCGGCTAGGCTCTCGGCGACGGGGCAGGCTAGGACCTAAGGCGGAAGCGCGGGTGGGCGGGAGGGACCTAACCTACTCATGATACCATCTCAGAGTTAGAAGTATTGACTAGAATGAGAGTATACAGGGGTATATAGCTAGTGGGTTGTACTCTCTATGGCAAGCCCCTATGTAGTCTACTAAACATGCACAAATATGTTTGACAGATGGGGGGGGAGAGAAGTGAGGGAAGGAGGATTCCCACGGGAATCATGATGTTGCTGAAGCCGTCAAAATTTTCGGCGAATTTCAGCAGGAAGCCTCGGCCAATCAGATTTTGCCGATCGATCCGAGGATCTCAAGGGCGGCCCCAACAAGTCTCTCAACACCCCCCCTCGCTGGGATAGGCGGAGGACACGAGCGCATCTGCAGCGCTGGCATTGGGAATTGAACCCGAGTCACCCGGCTCCGATACCATGTCAGAACTCAGTCACTAACCACTGAGCTAGAAGGGCTTGTTAAGTAGCGGGTTAGTGTGCTCTGAACCCCCCAGGCATAGAGGCATGTGTATCAGAACTCAGTCACTAACCACTGAGCTAAAAGGGCTTGTTAAGTAGCGGATAAGAGCGTGTTCCTACGAGCCTCTTCCCAAGCGACCTCTTCCCAAAACCTTTCTAGGCAGAGGTTCACAAACTCGAGCCCCCCTTCCTAGTCATGCATGAAAATAGTTGTGTGCCACTTTTGGTCGCGAACCATCTCGCCTGCATGCCACGTTGTCCGCGTGTAATCACACGGAAATCGAACACAGTCAATTGGCGCGCCCACGTCCGGGTTAGCCGTTCTCAAGCCTGCAGTCGCAGCTCTGACGACTGCCACGTACACGCGCAGTTCGCCATCTGCCAAGCTGACAACAGTCGAATTGACGGCCCTTGGCAAAAATTCTGGAACGTCAACCGTGCGAACTCAAAACAGGGCAAGGAACGCTGAACAAATGGTGCGCTTTGTCAAACAGCTGGTTGAACCGTCGCAACACATTTTGTGCTGGTTGAAAACCTTCTACCAATATCAGCACACACATAAACCATAGCAGGCACGGTGCTGCTCATCCCTCAGTCACATCGTCGCCACCTGCTACCGAGCGCCATTGCTCGACGATGCCGCCTAAGAAGAGGAAAGTCGTTGCCGCAGATGACTACCCTCTCGACCTCAACGACCTGAGTTACATCCGCTGGATGAATAACGAGATTAACTCTGGTCGTAGGAACAATCGCCCGCTTTGCAATGTCGGTCTTGGAAACTCCCAAGCTCCTAGCACGTCCAACGCTAAGGCCCCGCGAGCTCGAAACTGTGTGGACGAGCCACAGGAGACAGACTCGGACGTTGACAAGTACGATTGCGACACTGACGGAGACGAGCAAGATTTCATAGGCCCCGCGGTGACCTGTGAACCATCTCTCTATGCAAATGACATAGCCGCGGTAAGCTGCATTAGTACTGCTATGCTGAAAGGAAAGGAGAAGGCGAACGAGGACTCGGCCCCTGTTCCGTGAAAATCAACGGCCGTAGTGTAGTGTTATCAGAATGGACGAAGGGGGTCACATGGGGAGTGACACAGGTGATAGACTCCCTTACCCGTAGCGAGCTGTTCGTACATATCTGATATAAAGAATTTGTGTGTCTGGTACCGATGGGTAAATAGGCTTGTAAGGAGCGAGAAAGTTTGGGCAAGAATGATTGAGTTATGACAGGGGGGTGGGCAAGAAAAGGGGTATGCAATGTTCGATGCCCCTTTTTTGTAGGTGACAATGTAGTGGAAATTGGATTCCATAAAATCCAACCACCGAATCTATCGCGGGTTGAGTTGTGGCTATGTACAAATGTACTGTAGGCTGCGATGGTCTGTCCGTACTGTCACGTCCGCGCGTGTAAGGTAGCACTGCCACACTTTGAAGGCATGCACGTTAGCGAGCACCTCATTGTCGTGTATCGGATGGTTTTGCTCGGGCGGGTGTAACTTTCGTAACTCGTACGCGATTGGCTGCAGACCTTCACCAAAGTCCTGTAACAATGTTGCTACGATGGCGATGTCGCTGGCGTCAGTGATGACTTCGAATGGGCGGTGGGGATCGGCGATGCAAAGGACAGGGGCTGAGCACAAAAAGGCACGCCAAAGAAGACAGCTTGCTCTTTCTTCGCCCACCTATACTCAATCCCTTTCTGCAGTAGGGCGGTCAACGGTGCAGTTACCCCCACCATATTCTGGATAAACCTCCGAACACACAGTGATTTACAAACCCTAAGAAACTTTGCAGATCCTGCAGATTCGTAGGCGGTAGCAAGGCTTGCATGGACTCGATCTTACGCGGGTCCACTTCGACGCCCTTAGTGGAGATGACGTGGCCTAAAATTCTAACCTATGTTATAAGAACTCCCCCCTTTGTAGGTTATAACGACAATTCCTACCTGAATTACGGACAAAACCCCACAGTACCCACCAAGCTCAACATCGACAATCCTGTACACCAAGCCCAACAGTTTGCCTAAATCTTACAGAATGCCCAGGAACGAGCAGCAGAATCCATTAAGCGCGAGAACGTTCTTTCTAAGCGTAACGCAGATCTACACCGACGAGCAGTAACTTACAAGGCAGGGAACTTAGTACTGCACGAAACTCAGAGCCTTCGACTGCCCATCGTCTCAAAACTCTGCCCTTGCTACTGTGGACCATTTACAATCAGCCACTTGATATCTTCGTTACATCCCATCTACTATTACCAGTCGCCTGGAACGTCAGCCCATCTTTTCATGTGCAGCTGCTACGACCCTACATCGCCAGCACCAGTAAATTAGCATCGTCAAGCCGCCGTGGTGGGAGTGGATGGAGCTCTACGACTACAACACGGCGGCGTTGGAGCCCCATGCTGTCGACGGCGGGGGAGCAGAGGACGTGACTGTGGAGCCGAACTTCGACATCTCGGAGCCTCCGCGCTCATCTTCCCCCGCAAAATCCGGCGGTGAGCTTAGCAGCAGTCAACGTGATGTCACTGTTAAGAGAGGTGCTAATGTGAGACTACTTGCCTGGGTGTGCGCTGACCTTTGATACGCTCTTTGATCATTCTCGCGCATTATAAGCATTGCAGCGAAAGAAACTGGAAACGCATTGTCTAGTTCAATATAACAACACGATGCATGTGACGATGCAATACCCATCCTTACCCCCCCCCCCCCTTCCCCCCCCCCCCCCGCTCTTCTCTCCCTCCTCCCAGCACCGTCGGCATCTGTTATTCCCCCATCTGTCGTGGCGCTGGCAAAATACTTAATCGGAACTAGAACCGCTACGCGAAGCGGTATCAAATGTCGTCGAACAATCGGGTTCAGTGCATGTCGCATGCCGTCGCAAATGTATTCGACTATCTCTCTGTTGATGCAGAAAAGGTCGATGAACATCGCGTCGGACAGCACGCTCAACTCCTCCTTCCACAAGTCGAGTCGTCGCTTCTGCTGTTTGCGGTTTCTCGCTCGAATCTGCGCGCGATTCTCAGGAACGGCCGGCTCATCCTCGAGTTTCGCATAGAGTTCTAGGAACATCGTGAAAGCTTTCGTCGCATGCCCAAGAGATGCTTGTAGTAGAAGGTCTGATACACGATGAAAAGTCTAGGAAGAAAAGGTACTTCGTTTCCAGATGTGGAGCTCTGCAGAGTGCATTATGTAGGCGACTGGTATAGCACTGTCGAGTGACCCGCTGGGTAAACCTTGAAAAGATCCTCGGGGAAGGGCCACAAGTGCAGAGCCTGGGGGGTTATGGGCGCACTTACCCGCTATTTAACAAGCCCTTTTAACCCAGTGGTTAGTGACTAGGTTTCTGACAAGCACAGCCAACTTTGGCATGCGCTGAGCCAGAGAAAGTTGTGAGCGCATGTTTGCAATTCGAAACGTCGCATTCGTTTGTGTAGATCATTATTGGTTGGCAAAAACCGCGGAATCAAGTTTGTACGAAACGCACTCGTTTGAAGGGCAGCTCAACAACATCTCATATCAAGTCGCACAGCTGCCTAGTCACGCTTCGTACAGTGTCGCGCGCATCCCAGGCCGACAACTCTGTCCGGGAAGAGGTTGGGCTTGGCTTCGGCGTCATTCACGCGAGATGTGCTAGTTTGGGAAGAGGTTGCCTGGGAAGAGGCTGGTACGAACACGCTCTAAGAGCGCCCATAAACTCCAGGCATAGAGGCCTGTGGCCCTTCCCCGAGGATCTCAAGGGCGACCCCAGCGGGTCTCTCGATACCCCCCCTCGCTGGGATAGGCGGAAGACACAAGCGCCTCTGCAGCGCTGGCATTGGGAATTGAACCCGAGCCTCCTGGCTCTGATACCATATCAAAACTCAGTCACTAGCCACTGAGCTAAAAGGGCTTGTTAAGTAGCGGGTAAGTGCGCCCACTAGCCCCCAGGCATAGAGGCCTGTGGCCCTTCCCTGAGGATCTTATCCCCAACGGGTCTCTTGACATTGTGGCCCTTCCCCGAGGATCTCAAGGGCAACCCCAACGGGTCTCTCGACAGAGCCCTTGGGCTGGTACGGGCCAATGAACCAGTGCCTGGCATCTAGTAGCCACCAGGAGTGGTGTGAATGCAATACAATACCTTATGTAACATACCGCTACCATGGATAGTGAAACACTATTACTTTCTTTCATTTCAATCATTCACATGAACAGGCGTCCAGCAGAGTACTTGGATATTCTTTGCGTGGAGCCCTTGTGCTGGTACGGGCCTACAAACCAGTGCCTGGCGTCTAGCAGCCACCAGGAGATGAAGAAGACGACGAGGCAGATGACGCCCACACAAGCATAGTTGAAGTTGGAGGCCGTGATGGGGAAGTCGATGGGTACCAGGAAGGTTGCTATGGTGTAAACAACAAAGAAGAGTGCTAGCAGGTTGATAAGGCGCCTGCAAGTGAGGGACCAAGGAGGGGTGAAAAGGGAAGGGGGGGGGGGGGGGGGGGGGGTGGGGAAGGAAGGCATGTGGTTGAAGTTGGAGGATGTTGTTGGAAGTCGATGGGTACGGGGGAAGGTTGCAACGTTACCGCAGGATTAATAACATGCCCGGGCACTAACCTGCCCGAGCACTAACCTGCCCGAGCACTAACCTGCCCGTGCACTAACCTGCCCGTGCACCAACCTGCCCGTGCACTAACCTGCCCGTGTGGCTCCTGCAAGGTTGAACGCCCCCAGGTGAAAGTCCTCGTCCCATTGAATCAACCTGATCAACGTGGGCACGGAGTAGCTGCCCACCCACGAGACTGTACCCACCTGCCTGTGTTGCCAAAGTAGTCCGCCAGATTGAATGCCCCGGGGTGAAAGTCCTCATCCCGCTGAATGAGCCTGAAGAATATGGGCACGGAGTAGCTACCCACCCACGAGACTGAAGCAATGGGGAGAGCACTAACCTGCCTGTGCTGCCAACATAGTCCGCCAGATTGAACGCCCCAGGGTGAAAGTCCTCGTCTCGCTGAATGAGCCTGAAGAAGATGGGCACGGAGTAGCTGCCCACCCACGAGACTGTAGCGAGTGACGTTATAAAAAAGAAGGTGTCCGTGCTGTTCAGCAGCGGCGTGGCGAATATGATGGAGATGCTGCAGCACAGCCAAACTGCGTACACGGGTGTGCGGTCGCGGTTGACCCGCCGCCACAGAAAGGCAAAGGGCAGGCCGGAGTCGCGAGAGAGGGAGTAGGCCTGGTGCACCAAGTAGGGGGAGGGGGAGGGGGAGGAAGAGGGGGGGAGGAGGGGGATAAGAGATGGGCGCACGGGACAGGGCAGAGTGTGAGGGTCTGTGTCTGGATTGGAGGGTCGGGGTGGAGGGTTGGGGTGGAGGAGACTTTTGAGTCAACTCAAAAGAGGGTGAGGGTCTGTGTCCGGATTGGAGGGTCTGGGTGGCGGAAATGGGAAGTCTGGTTTTGGGGCGTGGGGATGGGGGGAGAAGGAAGGGGAGGAGGTGGGCAAGATTCGGAGGGGAGGGGGTTTGGGAGCGAGGAGGAATGGGGGGAAGCATAGAGTGACTTGAATGGGCAGCTCAGATCCATCAGTGGCGTGTGACGTGAAGTGATGGCATCCACTTTTCCTTCATTCTTTATCACGCATGCACGCCTAACCCACTCACTTCTCCCCACACTCTCTCTGCCACCCACTGCCCCTAGCGTTGACCCTAATGAGGTAATCAGCCCCCAACTGTCAGCCCGCCCAGTCAGCACCCACCGCTCTGGACGCCCCTGTGAGCCCGCCCACGACTCCGAGGAAGAAGGCAACGGACATGCAGGAGAGAATAATGACCGCCCCTGTGCCGCTGCCATAGCTGTCAGAGCCAAGCGAGGAGATGGGGAGATGGGGGGATGGAATGAAGATGAGGTATATTGTATGGGCTGCTCACACCCTCCCACTACCTTCTCTCACACGTCCCAGATGATCTGCACCACCGGATACTCCCCATGCGTCTCATTGTTGGTCCCCAGCAGCCCGTTCGTCACTCTCGATGCACAAGGTGAGGGCGTGTCCTAAGAGTACGTACTGTCTCTCGTTTGTGGTACAGTTACCAGATAACCAGGCGTAACCGTAGCCAAAATCGTCTAGGTGGACTAGTCCGTGCACAATGAACCTATCCGCAACGTCGACCGTTCGTTTTGTGACTGTACCCAGTACGTTTTGAGGTACTCTTAGGGGAAAGGCATGGCATCCACCAAAGCGTAATACCAGACCCCGATTATCGCGAATTGATTTCGCGAAAAGCCAGTGAGGAGAACCAGTGGGGACCAATTTCTCTGATGTGGAGGTTCCAGTCGTTTGGCGAGTAGCTGGGCTGACGCGGGTAACAGATATCCTTTTTGAGGCGCCTCAAAAATCGTCTGACGCGGGTAACAGGTATCCTCATCGCGTGTGGTGTTCCCAGGTTACCTTCCATTTGCGGGCGAATCGTGTTCGCCTGGGGACGGATTTAAGGGTGCGGCTGTTTTCGCCTTCACACTTTAGAGTACAATCTTGGACCTGTTCGCGTAGAACGTATTTTTCCTGTGAAATGCCCCGTACGTAGTCTTAGGACACGTCTTGAGCGGCACGATGAAGCTCCAGCCAAAACCACCTCCAGACTAGCCCTCACCGGTGCCTGAACACTTTTTGATTCGACTCAAACATCGACTCATTACACAAGCTCCAACCAAAACCACCCCCAGACTAGCCCTCACCGGTGGCTGAACACGTCCCATATGATCTGCACCACGGGATATTCCCCACGCGTCTCGTTGTGCGTCCCCAGCAGCCGCTCGTCGTTCTCGATGCAGAAGGTAAGGGAGACGATGAGCCCCCACCCCAGCACGCACACCGCTGTGAGCGACGACACCATGGCGGCTGGGATCGTGCGGTCGGCGTGCTTCGTCTCTTCCGCCATGTGCGCTACAGTGTCGTAGCTATACTGGCCGTACAGAGGCAGCTGCATGGCCACCACAAACGCGTATGCCTGGATGGGGGTGGGGGAGAGGGTGGGGGAGAGGGGGGGGGGGGAGGAGAGAAGAAGGTCAAACGAGCAAGGGTCGTATCTGATGCATCTGTGCCAAAGTGTTGTAGTTTTGCTGGCCGCAGAGAGCTGCATGGCAACCACAAACGCATACGCGCCTGGCGACGGGTGGGGGAGGGGGATGGGGAGGACGGGGGAGAAGGGGCGGGGGGGGGAGGGGATGGGGAGGACGGGGGAGAAGGGGCGGGGGGGGGAGGGGGATGGGGAGGACGGGGGAGAAGGGGCGGGGGGGGGAGGGGGATGGGGAGGACGGGGTCACGGGGGAGAAGGGGCGGGGGGGGAGGGGGATGGGGAGGACGGGGGAGAAGGGGTGAGGGGGGGAGGGGGATGGGGAGGACGGGGGAGAAGGGGCGGGGGGGAAGGGGGATGGGGAGGACGGGGGAGAAGGGGCGGGGGGGGAGGGGGATGGGGAGGACGGGGGAGAAGGGGCGGGGGGGGAGGGGGATGGGGAGGATGGGGGAGAAGGGGCGGGGGGGGAGGGGGATGGGGAGGACGGGGGAGAAGGGGCGGGGGGGGGGGGGAGAAGGTCAAGCGAGCGAGCTTCCTATCCTTTGTGTGTGCGCTACAGTGTTGTAGCTGTACTGGCCGTAGAGACGCAGATCCAAGGCCACCACACTGGCGTACGCCAGCAGCACATCAGGGGGGGGGAGGGGAGAGGGAGGGGAGAGGGAGGGGAGAGGGAGGGGAGAGGGATGGGAGAGGGATGGGAGAGGGAGGGGAGGGGACAGGGAGGGGGACAAAGAGGTCGAGAGCGCAGGCTTCCAATGCTTTCCGCTAGTAAAGCAGGGAGGTACAGTGCGGTACAAAGCGGTACAGAGCAGTGGAGCGCAATGCTCAGCGCATAGGGAAGTTGCAGGTGTTAGTGAGAAAAGGCGAAGGGGGCAGGTTGAAGAAAACAGGGTGGTGCAGAGTGGACCAGATCGATGAAGAGCGGTACTCGCGGCATTGGACAGGTGGCTCTGGTCCAGTTGCACATACTAATGAGTGAAGACGAAGGAGGCGGACTGTGTAGAGCAGAGTGATACAGAGGGGTACAGGAGGGTGCAGGGTGGTACTCACGGCATTGGGCAGGTGGCTCTGGTCCAGCTGCACGTGGTAGTGAGTGAAGACGAAGGAGGCGGGCTGTGTGGTGACGGCCACACAGGGCAGCACGATGATGATCACGAGGGTGAGGAGGATCTGCGGGGGAGAGGAGAGGGTGGATGGCGATGAGAGGAGGGGAATACGAGGTGGGCTGGGTTGTGACGGCCACACAGGGCAGCAGGACGATGGTCACGAGGGAGAGGAGGATCTGCGGGAGAGAGGGGGGATGACGATGAGCGGAAAGGGAGGGGGGGGGGAAGGGGAGGCATGAGAGGAACTTGAGGTGGTGCAGGTGGTGACGGCCGCACAGGGCAGCAGGGCCGTCATCACGAGGGTGAGGAGGATCTGTTATGGAAGGGGGGGCTTCAGGGGGGGGATGAGGGCGAGTGAAGATTGAACAGAAGGGCGCACAGGGCAGAGGAGGGGCGGGGGGGCTACAGGGAAAGGAAGGGTGCGGGGGGAGGGGGGAACGGGGACAGGGAGGGGGGGATAGAGGGAGGGTGGTGAATCCAAGGCGAGGAGATGGCAGGAATCAGACCGTGGGGGGAAGGGAATGGGGGGAAGGGAATGGGGGGAAGGAATGGGGGGAAGGAAATGGGGGGAAGGGAATGGGGGGATGGGAATAAAAGGAAGGTTCCTCGCACCTGCCAGACCGCAGTGAAGACGTTAATTCCCCCGATGACTTGAATGGGGAGCGAGGTCAGCAGTCCGCCCGTTATAAGCACGCCCACCGTTATCCCAAAGCACTCGTAGTTGCTGAGCAGGTAGCCCCCGTTTAGAGCACCCCCTGTAGCGGCATAGATGGTGTACTGTAGCAGCTGCACCCCGCCGAATGCCACCCCTCCCAGGCCCACAGATATGCCAAAGAACTCCAACCAGCCCTGGGGTTACAGGTATTTGCATGGGTACAGGGAGTTGCACACGGGTACATGCATAAGCACATGGACACATGCATAAGCACATGGGCACGTGCATAAGCACCTGGGCACATGCACATGGTACATGTATAAGCACCTGTGAACATGCATAAGCACATGGGTACACGCATAAGCACATGGGTACATGTATAAGCACCTGTGAACATGCATAAACACATGGGTACATGTATAAGCACCTGTGAACATGCATAAGCACATGGGTACACGTATAAGCACCTGTGAACATGCATAAGCACATGGGTACACGTATAAGCACATGGGTACATACATGTATAAGCACATGGGAAAATGTATAAGCACATGGGTACAAGCACAAAGCACAAAAGATTACAGCGTTCCGGGTATTGGAACGAGGGGAGGAAGGGGGAGAGAGGGAGAGAGGGAGAGGGGGGGGAATTCCTCACAGCGATCCCCGTTGCAAAGGGGGAAGAGGGGAGGGAGTCTCACTGTGATCCGCGCATGGGCGAGGGGAAGGGACGGCAACTCACTGTGATCCATGCTGCAAAGGGGCCGTGCTTTGGCCCGGCTAGAGCTGCCGCCCAGAAATAGAGCGACCCGGAGATCTGATTTGGTGGGGGGGGAGATGGGGGGGAGGGGGGAGCGGCGAAGGTGGGTTGGCTCTGTCCGGCTACAGCTGCCGCCCAGAAATAAAGCGAACCGGAGATTAGATTGCGGGGGAAGAACTGGGGGAGGGGGGGATTGTTGGAGGGGGGAGGGGAGAGGTTGGGATTTGGGGGGGTTTGGGAAAAGAGAGGCCCTGAGCCACTCCCTCTGTGTTCCTCTCACACGGGAACTTCTGCGGAGGCTTGCTGCGGATCGAATCCTATGTTTTCCGAACTGGGTGTGGGATGATGGGGGGAAACGAGTTGGGTGATGGTGCAGCTTACAGGGAAGGAGGAGGAAACTTCTGCGAAGGTGAGGGCGACACAGTGAGTGAAGAGGGCTGCCAGCCACCAGTACCACACGAGCGCCACGGCACCGCCATTCATGTATGTCCGGCTGAAGAGGGAGTGGGGAAGGGCAAGGAGTGGCAGGGAGTGGGAAAAGGCAAGGAGTGGCAGGGATTGGCAGGGAGTGGGAAAGGGCAAGGAGTGGCAGGGAGTGGCAGGGAGTGGCAGGGAGTGGCAGGGAGTGGCAGGGAGTGGCAGGGAGTGGCAGGGAGTGGCAGGGAGTGGCAGGGAGTGGCAGGGAGTGGCAGGGAGTGGGGAAAGGCAAGGAGGGAAGGGAGACGTGAACGAGTGAAGAGGGCTGCCAGCCACCGCACTGCCGTTCATGTATGTCAGGCTGTGAGGAGAGAAGGGAAAGGAGGGAGAAAGAGGGAGGAGTGAGGCGTTCCGCCTACCAGTACCAGCACACCAGAGCTACTGCCCCTCCGTTCATAAAGGTCTAGTTGAAAAGGGAGAAGGAAAGGTCAAGAGTGGGGATTGGGCAAAGAGACCCACCAGCGCCACACCAGCGGCGCCATGCAATAGTCATGCAACATCTATTTTAGTGTACAGTTATACAAAACAAGCATATGAAAGAGCAGTCATGTATGGTTTGGAATATTCAGAACCAAGGCTAAAAAGGCATTTAAAGGTCCAGAACGGCCAAGGCTATCGGTGGCAAGAGGATTTATGTCTGGTTAAAAAGTTAGGAGATACACTGGGGCTGTAGAAGTTAAGATGGGAGTGTGGAGAACTATTTTTGGCGTGGCTCAAAAGCAGACTCCTTACATGGGGAGATGGGTTAACAGGAGGATGTAAGCATGGGAAAAGACTTGGGAGTGGAAACTGGAGAAACCCAATACCAGGCCCCAGGAAGTCAGGCTATTTTACCCTGTTATAGCCTGTTTTTCGGAGTGATTTTTTCAGGTAAGGCTGCAAAACGAGGGTCCGAGGAAGGTACCACCCTGCCACATTCAGGCCATGTCAAGGATTCACCCAGCTGTATCAGAATTTCGTGTACCTAGAACCCTGCTTGCGCCCAGCCTGTGGCAGGAATACCCAGTGGTGAAATTCTTTTACAGTTGGGGTAGAAAAAATTCCTCCTCCACATCGCCCTAGAGGTTGGTTGTAAATTTGGCTAAGTAATGGTTTCACAGAGACAATGCATTCCCGTGGCGCAATAGGCTGGCGGGAATTTGGCTAAGGTAGAGCTTCGCAGTCAATTTGTGCCTAGTCCGACAGGTGGCTGGAAAATCGGCTAAGTCGGAGCTTTTGCAGAGACCCCTGTAGGATTTCTTCCTTGGAATATTTCAGAGGTCGATCTCGCCCCCAGGTTTGAAGCCTCCTCTAAAACGTGACAGCTCGTAAGTCATGTCAAGTCCCAACTCTGCCCTCTGGACTAGCGAATGCATCGCCTTTTAGTTAACAAAATTACAAGAGTGTGCACGATTGCCAGAGTCTCACCGGACCCTAGAGGTGACGACGAAGACGAGAGAAGAATTGCTTGTTCGATTCAGAGTCAGAGAAATTTTCACCCTGCCATTTCCGACTGGGATGTTGAGTTACCCAGCCAAATCTTGACAAGGAGTGGACCCTCACCCAGCAGTGGCAGGCTGACGCTCGGTCCCTGGTCGGATCTGGCTGGGTGCCCCAAAACACATCGAGAGGCCTTCCCAACCACTCCCCCCCCCCCCCCCCCCCCCCCCCCCCTCCCCCCCCCTCCCCCCCCCAAAAGAAAGTCCCCCGGAATGAAACTTCAAACTTTGTTTCTTTTATTATTTTCCTAGAAAGAGGAACTTATTTGCTTTCTCTTCTTCTATAAAAAACAGATCACACAGTGGTGGTGGTGGAAGGAGACCACTCACGCGTAGAATGGGACAACGCCAGCATAGATGATGATGGTGGAGAGGCCTATAGAGAACACCTCGAAGAAGCTCTAAAACGGGTATGAGAGAGAAAGGGAAAGGGGACGCGAGTGGGATAAGGAGAGGGAGCATGAGAACGTTGGGGAAAAGGGAGATGGGGGAAAGCGGAGATGGCGGAAGGGGGGCATTTCGCACATGGTGAATTGAGACAGTGATTACCCCGACGGATTGTGGGGGGGGGGGGGGGAGGGGGGTTTCGGGTTGTGTGTGGGGAGGGGGGAGGGGGTGGGGGGAGGGAGTGCTAGAGAGGCATGAAGGGCGAAGGGCGGGAAGAGTGGGTGAGGGTATGGGCGTGTGAGGCGGGTAACACAACCCGGCATTGGCGCGTCATTGGCGCGTCATTGGCGCTCCATTGGCGCTGCATTGGCGCTGCATTGGCGCTGCATTGGCGCTGCATTGGCGCTGCATTGGCGCTGCATTGGCGCTGCATTGGCGCTGCATTGGCGCTGCATTGGCGCTGCATTGGCGCTGCATTGGCGCCGCCGTGCCATTGCTAGTATGCATCCGCCTTCCGAGACGGCCGAGTCCCAGGGAAATGCTTTCATGCACACAAAAATCCCCCCCCCGCATCCCTCCCCACCAAACCACCCCCCCCCCCCCCCTTTTTGGCCGATGGATGTGCGCTGTTATTCGCGTTCCTGACGGCCCCGTTACAAGCACACTCACCAGGCGTCGCTTCAGCTCCTGTTTGTATCCCAGCTCGTTAAGAAGCCGCTCGCCAGAGTCAAGCTCCACCGTCAGATGCAGCCCGTCCTCCAGCATAATCTCCAACGTCTCTCGCTGCTCCGCATCTCCCGCCGCCTTCCCCGCCGCGTCTTGCGGTTTCTTCCCCCCCGCATTTCCCGGAGTACTACCTTCACTCGGCTCCGTCGCTTCCGCCGCGGTTCCCGCGTTGTCGACTTGCCACGTGCCCGCGACTAATTCGATTCCGCTATCTTCGGCGGCATTTCCGTCCGTTCCTGCACTGTCCGGTCGAGCCGCGCTTTCGTCTCCCGAAAAGCTCGATCTCGGGCGCTTCGAGTCTATAGCTATTTCTTCGCCTAGGGAACTGCCGCGGGATTCCCGCAACCGCCATAGGGCACGCTTCGCGAGCAGCGACGCGGGCATCGAAAAAATATTTCGGATTATGAGTTATCTTACTATGACGAAAAGGGCAAGGATGCTTTCTGAAGGACAGACAGGGTCTGTAATTTCCCAAAAGCTTTTGCGTGACACGTGTAAAAGCCGAGAGTTTCTTCTAAACGCTACTGACCAAAGTCAAGGTATGTATTCTTTGAGACGCATTCTCGCCACCGCAGTTCGAGGTGTGCGCAGAGGATATCAGTAGGAGCTACGTCAAGAGGGCATAAGAGGGCGACGGCGCTTCGTGGAAGAACAGAACGAGGAGTAGGTGACGACTGGCCCGGCATTCATTATTCCATCGGATGGATGGATAGGTCTAGGGGGCGGGTCATACGAATGCGCTTTTCCGTGCAGATAGGTTCGTTTACATCCTAGAGCGGTTGAGTAGGCTTTTGAGGGATAATGAGATCGTTGCCCTGAGGGGTCATTGTCTGACAAGGATGCCTCAGGGTTGGGAGAGGTGAAATGTCCAGGTTTTCTTTGCACCAGAGCGTGATGCTTTCTGCAAAGCAATGTAACGTTAGGAAACGTACAGCACCGTATTCTACCTAACCTGAATGTCGTCGACAAAAGTCCCACATTCCATTTCCATCCCAGATGTTGACATTTCCGCCCAGGCAGCTGGCGGCGATTGAGGCCGGCTTGGTTGGATTTGGCTGAAGCGGGTGGTGTGGTGAGACGCGGTGTGATGCGTTTTGGTGGGGATGGTGTGGTGGTGGGGTGGGGTGCCTCTTCGAAATCAAGAGGGGCGACACGGAGAGAGCCATATCCACAGCTTTTTCGTGCTGATGAGGGCAGCTGCAGAGAGGACCAACAGAACACAACACAAGCCTCTTCCTGTGAATTGCGTGGACTAAAGAACAGTCACTACACTGTACAGAACAGAAGTCCACATGTCCTCCTGCCCGAGAGTTTCCTGCTGCTGAGAGACTTCGAGAAAACACTTCCACCTTGCCTACATGGCCAGGGGCCCATCAGCGGCTACCAGCTCAAGGAGTATTGCGCCTTTGGCGGGAAAACCTGTACAGCCTGTCAAACAATATGACCAGGTAGCCAAGCATCAGGCGTCGATTTGATTCAAATCCGATTGCCTGTACAGGTGCCGAAAGGACTCAATTTTCTTGTCGACAACAGCTCTCAACACCCACCCCAGGTGGTACAGTCCGGTGCATACATATATTAAACCAGCACACACATACATTTAAAAGTGTGCTACATATACAAGGTTTGTATGATGAAAATGAATCGTAAAACACAAGCTTCCACTTGCCTTTGATCTCACCGTTGCTTCACGCCGCGTGTACTTTGCAACTGAAAAGATACCATATGGTGAAGAGCAGACAGCAACCACCTAGAAGCTCCCTTCTCACCAGTCCCAACCCCCTCAAGCAAATCGCCTTCAAGCACATCCAGAGCTCGCGCCACTGCTTCCACTGTGCTCACCGCACCTTTGTGGGGCTCCTTGCGCATCACAAGGCCCAAATGGCCAGGAGGAGGACCTGGTGATGCAAGGTCAAACGGAAGGCACACCTGCGATGGCGTGCCGGATGGAATGGGAATGGTGAAACAAAGAGGCAGGCATGCAAGGGGCATGGCGGGAGCAGCAAGAAAGAGTCTGGGGTTGAACAGTGTACGGCATCAGCACAAGACAAAGAAATAGGGGCATTATGCAGCTGATGCGGAATCAGGGGCATACAGGTAAGGCGTCGGCAAGAATCAGTCTGAGGTAGAAGATAAGCTTCAGGAAGAATAATCTTCTCTCCGAAACAATTTAAAAACTGACGTTCCATTCTCTCATATAAGCTTCTCTCCCCTGGCACTGCATGCTTCACTGGCTTCACAGCATACCATCTTGCAGTGCCGCCTGAGGAAGCTTCCACTCGCCTTCATCATCTCCTTGGCATGCTCCCACGTCCCATCGATCACCACCAGGGTCACACCATACCCCTCCCCACATACCCGTCCCTTCTCCCCACGCCCCTGCGCCTCCTCCCCACATACCCGTCCCTTCTCCCCACACCCCTGCGCCTCCTCCCCACATAACCGTCCCTTCTCCCCACGCCCCTGCGCCTCCTCCACACATTCACGCCCCCTCTCCTCGCACCCCTTGGCCGCCTCCCCACATTTCCGTCGCCTCCTCCCACACCCTTGCCCCTCCTCCCCAAACTTCCCTTCTCTCCCCCCACATTCCTGGGCCTCCTCCCTACATTGCCTTCCCTTCTCTCCGCACCCCTGGGCCTCCTCCCCACATTCCCGACCCCTCCTCCCACACCCGTGCGCCTCCTCCCCACATTCCCGACCCCTCCTCCCACACCCCTGCACCTCCTCCCCACATTCCCGACCCTTCCCACACCCCTGCACCTCCTCCCCACATTCCCGACCCTTCCCACACCCCTGCGCCTCCTCCCCACATTCCCCTTCTCTCTCCCCACACCTGTGCGCCTCCTCCCCGCAACCCCATCCCCTCTCACCGCTCCCTCGCTCCACCACCCCACATGTTTGCACTGCCATCCCACATGCTGTCTCAGCCGCGCAGCCATGCTGTTGGACCCTCACACGCTGTTGGAATCTCACAGGGTGCTGCTCCACTTCATGCTGCCCCGGATGCTGCAGCTCCAGTTGACGCTGGTGCAGATACCACCTCCACCAGTCACCCACTGGCTCTGCTCCCTCCCCCGGGAACAGGAGCAGCCGCACATGCCCACACACACATATACCATCCCCTGCACCTCTCATTTGAGCCGCCTCAGCCGATGCGCGCATACCGTCCCATGCATCCCTACTCCTCTCTTTGCACTGCACGGATGCACTGGTGCTGGCCCGCTCCTTCTTTTCTTCACCCTCTGACCCTACCTCCGCTCTCGCACCACCCTCGTCGCCATGTCCTTCCCTCCATTGCCTCTCTCTTCTCTCCACTCGCCTCCCAACAACATCCTCAATATCTCTCCCTTCACCTGCCTCCACTCCATCCCCTCCCTCCCTTCCCTCTCCTCTGCAGTGACCGTTTTCTTCTTCTCCCCTTCCCGCCTCCGTATCCCTGCTCCCACTCCCGCCCTGCCACGAGGCACCCGATCTGTCCCTACAGCGAGGGATCAACGCCTGGTCCAGCTCAGCATAGGATCCTGCTAGGAACCTTCGTCCCGTGATGATTCGTGTGGAATCTAGCGTGAGCGCGAGGATCGGCGCCGTCGCAAGCCGCTTCTTGGCTTCGTGTGGGTGCTGCAGAACTATTACGCGCGTCCGAGTCTTTAATCTACTCGGCGGTAAGCTAGGGCATAGACACGCGCGCGACGGCCGCTGACAGCGCTCACACAGCGTCCGCCTTCCTGTTGGACGCGACGCGACTCCCTGCGGAGCCGCCACGTCAGCGCCGGATGACGAGGCATGCGCTAGCCTATCAAGCGCGAGTTGTGCGTAAGGGTCTTCGAGTTGAGCCTCAGGCTGGGAACTCGTAGTGGGAGGCATGAGTTGATCTGATCTTTGGGTTATCGCTGGTGTTCGGGTGTAGAAGGAGATTTGTAGGTTGTCTTTGAAGCCTCCGAAAGCTGCTCGTTAGAATGATTCTGCCTGTACTTCGTCAGGAGAACAAACAAAAAAGACGATGCTTGGCAGGAGCTTGGCAGGCGCAAATATTGTAACTTTGGATGGGTGCTGTGAATTTTGGAACGGTGGCGGTTAAAACATTGTAAGACGAAAACAACTTCGGAATACAGTTCGCATACGAAAGGTTACAATACTTCGCTTGGCTACATCGACCGTTTCGTTGAAGCTGGTGCGCCAGGTGCCAGAATATTAGCTACCTAGCCTGCCACGTCACATTCCTGCACCAGGGAGATTCTCTCGGCAACATCGATGTTGCTCTGGCTGGTTCCCTTGAAATGTTCGTCCGCCTGAGTAACATTACTCTCACTTTCTGCACCTACTAAAAGGGCAATTCTCACGGACATTGTTTATTCGTTGGAGGGAGCTTGATGCTGACCAGGCGTTTTCGGCTTGTACTCGTCCACTAGAGCGAGGACTGATATTAGTCCGCTGCTTACTCCTCGTCATGTCATTCGCCCTGCCATTCACATCCAGTAGGGCGACACTTGGTTCCTGTACACACGGCCATTGCCAACCAAGACCCAACAGCCTGCTCAAACCTGAACGTCCTCGTCTTCTATCACAACCGTCAACTTCCGTTACCTCCAGGTTTCCGTCTTCCAGGCCACGACAGACCGTCTCGTCTCTCAACCAATCCAGACGACGCAACGTCGAGGCTTCTGTTTCTTCCCAGCGTTCTCGAGTTCCGGGTAGCAGCGTCACCCCGATCAGCTGGCGCGGCATCGCGCCTGGTTCGCGAAGCAAATCTTCCGGTCGAGTTGTGCGAGCTTCCAGCGGCGTGGATGATCTCCAGGTCCCTGCCACATGGACGAGTCCAGAAGTCGCCCAGCGAGTGAGCCATTGGCCCTACTGTCTCGTACTCCGTTGCTCCGTGCGTCTTACCTTGGTCCCCCCACTTTATGCACCCCTTTCTCCCTTCATCGGTCGCTCCATGACTTGCTTTCTTCTATGCTGCTCATCGGGGTCCGGGTTGTGCAGGAAGCTGAGTGGCTGAGGGAGAGCCTCAAGGCGTGGCTGGACAACGAGTACTGCCCGGAGCCCGCCAACGTCGGAATCAGCGACCGATGCGCCAAGGTGTGGCGAGCCTCATTGTCGTGTTCCATCTAGGTAGATTAGGACTGCAAGCAGAAAATAGGTATAGGGAGTAGGAGTTCTGCCATGGAGTCTTCCCTTCGCAGTTAGCTTATGAGTCTTGGGAAGAGGCTCTTGAGAAAATGAACCTTGGAAAAATTACACTTGGCCAACCGGAAACAGGTTAAGCAATCTACACCACAATTTGAAATGTCACATCAGTTAACACGGAAAGGAACGCATTTATGCCAGCAGCGGGACGAGTGTCAGATTCACTTCCTTCCATCATCCATGCTGCTCTTCCATGCCGTTCCTTGACACCCCTTTGTTGCCCGGCCTCACAGGTTTACTATCGCTGCTTGGTGAATCAAGAAAGGGAGATAGCACAGATTCTCATGCAGGTAATGCATACGTTCTGAGATTTTGACATTGTTATTGTAAACTTGAATATATGCTTGTGAAGTCCCTGGACTTGATATCCTTGTTGAGAGCACCGAGGGCTGTATGTGTGCGTGCTCATCCACTGCATAACAAACCCTTTTGGCGCAGTGGTTGGTGGCTGGGTTGTTCCAACAATCCTTGTATAGCAGCATCGGTGAGTGTAGATATTGTCTCCCTTTCTCACTTGGTCTACGTGTCTTGTTTGTGTTTGTGTATTGCGGTTGCAGATGGTGTATGACTTGGAGAGCTTTTCATTCAAAGAGAGCTTTCACGGACCCTTTTCATCAGCCAATGCAGCAGTGGCGCTCATATCTGACAGAGCTGCTATTAGCATTGACTAGCACTCATCAAGAAGTTGGCAAATATATACCGTAATTGAGACTCATCAATGCGAGGCATGTAACAATAATTAGGGTCTTCTGAATCCCTGTTCTTTGGCGAAATGTTTACGCGGGAAATACAGGCACCCTTCGTAGCCTCCGTCTTGGCTGCACTGATTGGCTGTTTTTGACTCAACCTACAGAACGCCACGCCACCACTCTGAGCACTCTGCGTGCCAGGTGTTGCGCAGCCATGGATGTGGGTTGGTGTGGAGTGGAAGTGGGGCGCCCACCCCCGGCCGACGTGCGCGACTGGCTGCGATGTTGCGCCAAAGCTCTTGCGCCTCGTCCCTTCCTGCTCCCGCAGTGCGTCCCCTATCGCAGATTCCTTCATGGTGTGCCCAAACCCAAAGCCACAAGGATGTCCTCCCACCCATCCATACCAGCCAAGAGAACGACCACCGTACGTTTAATGCGGTTGAGTACGTTCCATCACGATGTGGCTCGGTTTGGTGGCCAACTTCGTGCTGAGGACAAGTCATCCGCCTGCTGGTTCGACACTCAGTACACCCAGGATTTCGATTAATTTGGCGGTTTCGTTTTGGGCGGTAACGATTTTTGTATCTGCGTGGTGACTGTAACGCTATACAGTCGCTTGCCTCAGAAACCCATGTTCGACGGGACTCGCTCTCCGTGTGACATTAGGGCTGGCATGGCTTTTGGAGTTCACTCGATGAAGTTCAGGTAGCTGTTTTCGTTGATGTCGCTAAACGCTTCGCAAACAGCTTTTCTGAAATATGTTTCAAGTTTGGAAACCCCAAAACTCGCACCCGCATCTGACGCAGCAAACAGCAAACTTCGACTGAGGGCTCGAGTCGTTGGCCGAACTCTTGACAGCGTGAAACTTATTCGCAGTCAAGACTGTATTCGCGACGCGCGCGAAAAATTACCCTGTGCCGGACGACACCCCAATTTCGAATTTCAGCCCCGACATGCGATTCGACATGCAATCTCGTCTCGACTTGTTTTGCGTTTCGCGACAGTCGCAATTTTTCCAACCTCCGCGCGCCAGGAGTGCCTGTATTTCGAACTTTGAAAGTTCGACATGGTCAAGGTACTCGGCTGATCACGATCCCAAGGGTGCATTTTTTGTGAGTTCGAACTCTGCGCTAGAGTCTGTCTCCATGTTTACTGAACTCCATGTTCGCTACCAAAGTTCGAATTAATGCAAAACCACGAAAAAGTACCACGCCTGAACCAAAGCTGGGGTGATTGTAACAAAAATCAAACTCTAAAATGTGCTATTTTATCGAAGAACCCTGAGTGTACACTACAGTAAGGTGAGGACTGTAGACAAAGGTGGATGTCACCTCCCCTGAGTCCCTCCCCCCACCTCCCCCCACCCCTTCCCCTCCCCGCCTCCCCTCCCCCAAATCCCCAAACTCCCACGATTTCGCGCGCGCCGCTGGCCGTTCAACGGGGGTTGCGCAGCAGAGCCGTCCTCATCAACCCGGAGGTGCGCTCTGCGCAGTGCGGCGTTGTGCAGTCACGGTCAATTCGCTTTCATAGTCTGCAGCCCGTTTCCTTCCTTCCAGACCGTAATGCTCCAACGAAGAACTGAACAGACTGCGCAGGGTCGTGTTATAGTAGGTACCTGGCGACGAGGCAAGTTAGCTCCGGCCGGCATCGCTCTAACGCTAGTACCGTAGCAAATGGCGAGCGGTGCGCTCTTGCGAGCAGTTGTATTTCCGTAGCTCCTGGGTGGTCCTAGTAGTGCACTGCAAACGCCATTCCACCCCAATAGGTTAGCGGCTCGAGGAATATTCTGCTGTTTTCTAACGCGTGATTAGCTAGCCGTAAGCCGTCCGATTCACGACCTTACGTGCCCGTTTCGCGGCTCCTGTCCCCCTGCATTTCCGCCGCGAATGGCGGACGACGGCGAATGGACGGTCGAGGAGAACACAGCCGTCGAGCCGCCAGTGGCGGAAAACGACGAGCTGTTCCGCGAGGCGTGCGCGTTCGAAGGCGCCGCCGTTGTCGCTATAGTGGAGGGCTCCTCGAGCCACGGAGGGAAAGACGGCGCGGATGGCGGAGGGGGGGACCCCGTGGCGAAGACGATGGAGATTATGCTCGACGACGGTGTGCTTCTAACGGTGGAGCTCGATTCGGGGGAGAAGCGGCTGAACGAGCTGGGGTACCGGCAGGACTTGCAACGCGATTTGGTGCGTGCGATGTTACTGTAGCGGACGGGACGGAACACGTGATGACCGTGATAATATCGAGATGCTCCATCCGTCCCCCCCCCCCACCCCGAGCCTCAATAGTTCCCTCCCGCTTGCATGCTCCGCACTTCACGACTCCCCGTATTCTTCTGCATTCTCCCGCATTCTTCTGCCGATGCCCTTCGGGAGTCCTCAGTTACGTTCGTACTTGCGTGGTTACCCAAGTGTTACTCGAGTAACAATAACAAAAAAAGTGGGTTTATTTGTATTTTCCCTTCCGATCCCAGCATTTCGGGGATGTCGTTCGTTCCTCACTGAGGAATTCCCTCCCGAGGATGTGATTCGTTATTGAGAATTCCAGAAAACGAAACGGCATTCCTCTCGAACATGATTTGTTCCACGTTCCTCACCGCGTTGCGTGGAAGTTGAAATGGTTATTACCCGCCCTCAAAATGGCCTATTACCCCTCCCTCGCTATCCCACTACCCTATCCACTTCCCGTCCGTCCGCCAATCAGAACGCGTTTGAGCTCTTCGCCGTGTCGCTAACGGGTGTCGGCGTGTTTCTCGGCGTGGTCCCTTACTACGAGTAAGTGCCCTTCTGCCTATTATTCTCGTAATTTGCTGGGTGCCGTACTACGAATTGTCCCCTTCATTTCTCTGCGTGGTGCCTTACTACGAGTAAGTGCCTTCTCGCCTTCTTGGACTACCTTCTCGCCTTTCCGCTGTCCCTTTCCTCCCGCACTAGACTTGCACTGCGCCTCACATTTCCCCTGTAATTGCGTTTCTCCACTCTTCCCCCCCCCCCCGGCCCCCACTTCCTCCTCTCCCCCCCCTCTCCTCCCCTCCCGTCCCCCGGCCCCTCTTTGCCGTGCCGTGAGGGTGTCCGGTGCTGAGCCTACCCCCTCTCCCCCCCTCTCCCCCGCGGGCTGCTGTGGTGGCGGTGTTGCGCTGGGTGAATCCATCCCTGCGCTCCTCGCTCTCCCCTGCTCTTTTGAGTCGACTCACGCCCCCCCCCTCCCTCCATAACTCCCTTCCTCCCCTCCCGGTTTGTCCCCCTCTACTGCAGGCTGCAGTGGTGGCGGTGTGGCTCTACCCACCTCGTGCCCACAGCTTGCCCCACCCTTGGTTAAATCCACCTCTTTCCCACCGCTTACCCGCCTCTTACCCTCATCCTTCCACTTCGCGCCCTCTACCTTGTCCCCACCAACCAGCTATGCATTCGCAAGTGGACGCCCCGTCATGGCGGTGTGCTTCAGGTGGAGAGCAGCTTTCGTTGCCCTCCCTAGCGTAATGAGTCGATTTTTGAGTCGACTCAAAAACCCTCCCGTGCTCATCTTCTCTTCCCTTGCTCCCCCTGCCCTTTCCTGCCCGCCCCCTCCCCTTCCCTCCCCTCTCCCTCCCTCTCCCTCCCTCTCCCTCCCTCTCCCTCCCTCTCCCTCCCTCTCCCTCCCTCTCCCTCCCTCTCCCTCCCTCTCCCTCCCTCTCCCTCCCTCTCCCTCCCTCTCCCTCCCTCTCCCTCCCTCTCCCATCATTCCCACCAGCTATGCCTTTGCCAGTGCAGGCCCAGTCATGGCCGTGTGGCTCTAGTGGATAGCCGCTTTCTTCTCCCTCTCTTGGTTCTGGTTCTTCCTTGCTCTCTCTCACCCGCACCCCCTTGCTCTCTCCCTTCTCCCCACCAGCTATGCCTTTGCCAGCGGTGGGCCGGCGATGGCCGTCTGGTTCTGGTGGGTAACCGCCTTCTTCGCGCACTGCATCGCTCTCTCCCTCGCTGAAATCGCCTCCTCGCTTCCCGTGAGTCCCTGATCCCTGTGAACGCGTCCCTCGCTTACGCCTCCCATGCTTTCCCTCTCCTCTCAGACGGCAGGCTGTCATTAGTTCAGGGCTGCTGCACCGGCCAAGCCTAAGTGCCGACCTCTCCGAAGCAACCCCCCCAAGCGAAATTCCGACCCCCCGTTTCCTGCCTTTCCCTCCCCCCCTCTCTCTCCCCTCACCCTTTCTCCCTTTTCAGACTGCCGGCTCTCTTTATTTCTGGGCCGCCGCGTTAGCCAAGCCCAAGTACCGGCCTCTTGCGGCATGGATCACAGTAAGTGCTGGCACTTAGCCCCCTTGCACTCAGCCAAGCACGCTATCACGCTCAGTGCCTAACCCCGCCGCACTCAGTCCACACGTTATTTACCATCGACTTGTTTGACAGTACCGAGAGCCTCCCCTCCTTCTCCACCCTTCTACTCTGCCCGCTGCTCTCTCTTCTGCCCACTCGCTTTTAATCCCAGGGATAGTTGGAGTTTCTAGGAGCGTCCATAGAGGAGGGGGGGGGGAGTGGCGCCCTGACTATGTCTCACGGCTGTTCTTCTCCTCTTCTCTACCCACCCGCGTTTTATCCCAGGGATGGCTGGAGTTTCTAGGAGCGTCCATAAGGGTGGGGGGGGGAAGAGGCGCCCTGACAATGTCTCCCGGCTGTTCCTGCCTCATGTTCCACCGTTCTCCTCTCCTCTGCCTATTGCTTGTAACCCCAGGGATGGCTGGAGTTTCTAGGAGCGTCCATAGGGACAGGGGGAGTGGCGCTGGGAGGGGTGGGCCTCTTAGCTGACATTATTCTGCTCGCCACAGGTACACCAGCTTTCAGTGCGGTGCAGCGAGCATGGTGCAGTGTATTCCCTGTGGTGTGGTAGGGTATAGCATGGCATGGCGTGGCATACGCATGGTTCCTGTGCCTGAGCCCGATCATCTCCTTTCTCCTCACCTGAATTTACCTTCTCCCTTTTCCCCCACCCCTTTTCACTCCCTTTCCCCCTGTCCCTCTTTCCTCCTATCCTACTGTCCACCAATCTTTCCCCCTATCCCTCTTTCCCCCTATCCCTCTTTCCCCCTATCCCTCGTTCCCCCTATCCCTCGTTCCCCCTATCCCTCGTTCCCCCTATCCCTCGTTCCCCCTATCCCTCGTTCCCCCTATCCCTCGTTCCCCCTATCCCGCTTTCCCCCTATCCCTCTTTCCCCCTGTCCCTCGTTCCCCCTATCCCTCGTTCCCCCTATCCCTCGTTCCCCTATCCCTCGTTCCCCCTATCCCTCGTTCCCCCTATCCCTCGTTCCCCCTATCCCGCTTTCCCCCTATCCCTCGTTCCCCCTATCCCTCTTTCCCCCTATCCCTCTATCCCCCTATCCCTCGTTCCCCCTATCCCTCGTTCCCCCTATCCCTCGTTCCCCCTATCCCGCTTTCCCCCTATCCCTCGTTCCCCCTATCCCTCTTTCCCCCTATCCCTCTTTCCCCCTATCCCTCTTTCCCCCTATCCTGCTTTCCCCCTAGGCATGAGCATGAACCCGACCCGACCCGACCCGACCCGACTTTGCCCTACCCGATGTCGGGTTCGGGTCCGGTCGGGTCGGGTCAAGTCGGGTCAGAGGTCGGGCATGGTCAACCCGACCCGGGTTTTGTAGGTCGGGTTATGGGGAACCCGACTTCGGGTCGGGTTCTAACTGGGCAAAATCGGGTTTTTGGACCCGTCGTTGTTTTAGAGGCCTTAACGACGGGCCAGGTTATTTTTAACAGTTTGGGGACCACCTCTCAGGGGTCCCCAAACAGGTACACCCTGGAGAAGGGGCACATTGATCGTGTCTCTTTTAAAACACCCTTTATAGCTATTTATTGATGTCTTTAGGTGCGTGGCACACTGTTGCTTCCACTCTTTCGTGTGTATCTTGTGTGTAAGGCTGCCTATGGAGTCCTGGAAACCTAACTTAGGATGCCATGTCTTTGCAGAAGAGAGCTTGGTAACTAATCAGTCTTCCAGACCCCATAGCTCAATGCTGGGTTCGTCAAGGTAGCACACCAGTGCCAAACAAAGACTCTAATGCACAATAAAAATCTAGGCAGAGGATGCAAGTAACGGGATGCACGGTAAAGCACATAGCCAAGGCAAAACTCAACCACCGGCCACGACCATCGAACCACTATCCTCCCACTCAACCAAACATGTTATCACAGCCCAAAATCCTCACCCTCGATGCACAACTCCTTCAGTGCCTGCGCAGCTGCCGGCCCCAGGAGCTGCGCGCCTTGGTGCTCTGACATCCATGACTTGATGGTCATGGATGCACGCACCTGGGCGGCGCTCAACCGGTGGCGCTGCCAGGATATAATGTTCCTCCCCTGACTGAACGCCCTCTCGCTAGCAGCGGATGTGGCTGGGATTGCCAGGTAGTCGCGAGCCATGGCCCGAAGGCCAGGCAAGTCTACCCTGCTTTGCCAGAACTTAAGGGGGCAGCCCGCCTTAAGCCTCTCCTCCCCCAGGTACCTCTCAATCTCATCCGGTGGCTTTACCCCCGCCGCTGCCGCCTGCGCGTCCATGGTGGCGAACAGCTCATCCGCCAAATCATCCCCCTCCGCCCCCGCCGACCCCCCACCCTCACCCACCACGCCGCTGTCCCCCTTCCCTACAGTAGCCGTGCTGGTCTCCTCGGTTCCCGCCGTCACCCCGGAGCCCTGCTGGTGAGCCAGGTACTTCTCGAGCCGCTTCCGAACCAGCGTTGCGACGCTCGCCTCGTCCAACACCGGCACCGCCCTAGCGGTGCCTGCTGTGTCGGCGGCCAGATCCTTGTTCACCACCTCCCACCGCGGAAGCCTGAAGTAGTGCTTGTAGCGGGGGTCTAGCATGGTGGCCACCGCGAGCTCCTTCGCCACCCCGTACTCGTACTTCTTCAGGACCTCCAGCGCCTCCCATGCCATGTCCCTGATCACAGGGGTGGTCGTCCTGCTGTGGTACATTGTCTCGAGGTTGTCGATTAGGCGGTTGTACTGGGGAACAACCGCCGCGGCTGTGGGGTACAGCGATCCCTCAGCCGCTGTGGTAAGGGAGTGGAACGGCTTGAGGAAAGCCGCTACCTCCAGCAGCGTCTCCCAGTGGTCGTCCCTCAGGTGGAACCTGCCGTTAGTGTTGGGCACCTGTTTGGAGGTACCAGGCTGATGAAAACATCAAGCAAGACAATGGGAAGGGTGTAGAAAGAGTTGTGAAGGGGAGCGGTGGTTAAGGGTTTAGGCACCATGTGCCATGCCATGCCATGCCATGTGCCATGACATGCCATATCATGTGCCATGCCATGTGCCATGTCATGCCATGTGCCATGACATGCCATGTGCCATGCCATGCCATGTCATGTGGCATGACATGCCATGTCATGTGCCATGCCATGTGCCATGCCATGTGACATGCCATGCCATGCCATGTGCCATGCCATGTGCCATGACATGCCATGTGCCATGCCATGTGCCATGACATGCCATGTGCCATGCCATGTGCCATGCCATGTGCCATGCCATGTTATGTACCATGCCATGTGCCATGACATGCCATGTGACATGCCATGCCATGCTATGTGCCATGCCATGCCACATGCCATGTCAGCTCGACGAGCGCCTGTCGCAGTCGCTGCAAGGACAGTCGAGATGCCATGAATTTGTGTAAGTTCGGCTGCCCCGCTCCAGCCTCCACCTGCGCCGTCGCCGGACCAGCAGAAAGCCGCGGCCAGCTGTCAGCATGCAGCCAGGCCTCCCGCTGATGTGGCACGTTCGGATACCCCTTGAGGGGGAACTCCAAACCCGGCTGCTTCTTGGGGTCTGTGAAGAGACAGTGCCAGATTTGGAGGTGGGGGTGGTGATAAAGGCGGGCATGCTTCCAGGCGCTGCCCGTGCTGCTGCCTGCCCAGTAAACCGTCTGCTCGCAGCACCTACATGCACGCTTAAGAGGGTCGTCGGTCACGTCGAACATACCCTGCATGAGGCCTGGGATCCTGCCCCCGATGCCCTCCTCCTCCTCCTCCACCTCCCCCTCTCTACCACGCTTAGGGTGCCCCACACCAGCCCCCGCAGTCCCCCCCCCAGACCCAGACCGTGCTTTCCCCTTCCCCTTACTGCGCTTGGCCCCTTGCTTGCCCCTTTCTCCACCGCGCGCACCCTGGCCGGCCCTTGTCTCCTTGGCCTCTGCTGCCCCCTCCACAACCCCTGCCACTCCAGGCTCCCCGCTGTCCTCCCCCCCACCAGCAGCAGCGCGTGCGTCCATGGCCCCTAGGTCAGCACCCACCCCTTTCCCACGCCCCCCTCCGCCACCCTTCCCGCTCTTCCTCCCACTCCCCTTTTTTCCGGGGCGTGGGCCATCGTCCCCGGACTCGCATGCCTCCATCTCCTCCTCTCCCGGGCCATAATCCGGGTCATTGTCACGCTGTCCCACCTTCCCCCCTGCTGTAGGTTCCGGAATCCGGTTCCTTTCCCACCCCTCGTCGTCCATGCTGAAATCCCGGTGCCATGTGCCATCCCACTCGTTGTCGGCGTTGATGGAGCCAAGGGCGAAGCTCTGTGGCGCGCCGGCGACGGGCACGAGGGCAAGGGACATCCCAGGCAGCGCCGAACTGTCAACGCCGGTCTGCACCGACGCCGCGTGTGGGCCGTGCGGCCTAAACCCCGCATCCTCTCCATTGCTTCTGCCCTGATCGCCACCGCTGAGTCCGCCTTCCATTGGCCGCTGTGTAGGCCACCGACACCTACAATCTAGGCCCTCCCCTAGTTCAGCCCCCTTTAGAGACCTATGGAAACCCTAGATATCTAAGATGGCCCTAGATTCCACGGAATAATGCCACAAATGTACTAGCCACTTTGTTGGAAACTTTCCCTAAGAAATGCGGGCTGTTTCCTTAAGAAATATGAGTTGCTTAAGGCTAATGTCCTTTCAGTATGTATGAGATAGAGAAGGAACAGCTGCTGCCTAACATTCAACCGTTAGAACTCCATTGTTGCTAGGTAGGAGTATGGGAAAGTCGAGGTCGAAATAGGAGAGTGATTTTTCAGTTTGAAATTTCAACCCTAAAACTCAAAATTTTGAGATCTGCGCGCAGATCTCAAAATCGCGTCGGGTCGACGCGGGACCCGATTTCGGGTTGGGTCGGGTCGGGTCAACCCGACTGCATTTACCCGAAGTCGGGTCGGGTCAACCCGACATGTCGGGTTGACCCGAACCCGTGCATGTCGGGTTCGGGTTGACCCGACCCGTCGGGTAAAAAACAAACCCGACGGGTCGGGTTCGCCCGACGGGGAAACGGACCCGACCCGTCAAAAAGTCGGGTTCGGGTCGGGTTACCCGACCCGACCCGACCCTTTGCTCATGCCTATTTCCCCCTATTCCTCTTTCCCCCCTTCCCCTTTCCCCCTTTCCCATTGCCCTCTGTGTGGAGCCTGCTCTTCTCGGATCGGTGAACTTTGCCCACCTTGCCGACGGCAACGGCTACATGATGCCAGAGCCTGTTCACACAACCTTTGTATCTTTCCTCTTTGTGGAGCTTGCTCTTCTCTTTCCCACTTTGGCACCTTGCCCACTTTGGCAACGGCTGCATGATGCCAGCCTGGTCACTTCGCCTGCTACGTATGTGGTTACCCATCGAGATGCTTGGCTACCCCGTGTATCCCCCGCTGCCCCTCTGCATTGCAGGTGGCGCCAACGGCAACGGCTACATGACAGAGACTGTTCACTTCGCCTGCCACGAGGATGTTCATTGTGCTCCTGCATGCTCAAGGCCAACCTGCTGCTTTATCCCGTGTATCCCGCACCTCACCTTCCCTTGGTTTTAAAGGTGGTGCCAGCGGCAACGGCTACATGATGCCAGAGCCCGTTCAGTTCGCCTGCTGCGTGTTCATTGTGCTCGTGTGCGCTCTGGTCAACCTGTTTCCAATCAAGATGGTTGGGCGTGTGCTGCTCATCGGCATGATCATCCAGGTGAGCTAGCTGGCTGGTTTGCATTATCTTATCATCATTATTATCATTATCATCATTATTATCATTGTCATCATTATTATCATTGTCATCATTATTATCATTGTCATCATTATTATCATTGTCATCATTATTATCATTGTCATCATTATTATCATTGTCATCATTATCATCATTATTATCAGTGTCATAGTTGTCGTCGTCACTACCGTTACCATCGTCATCACTACTATCATAGTGCTCCTATGTGCTCTCGCCAACCTGTGTCCCATCGAGATGCTTGGTTGCATGTTGCTCTTAGGCATGATCAGTCAAGAGGGTGCTTGGTACTAGACATGGGCATGATGATGGACATGGGCTTATAATTCCACCAGCACTGATGAAGGTCTGATTCGGGGCCTGTCCCAGTCAGCCGAAACTAGTTAGCGTTTTAATCTTCTAGTGGAGTTGAGTTCGGAACTTCGATTTCTCGGTTTTTTAACAGGGGTATCAATTTACATACTGTCACTCTTTTTTGCTAAAGGTTTTCCTCTTCGTTGCAGCCCACCCTAACGCTTAATGGCTACGTTACCATCGTCATCACTACTATCATAGTGCTCCTATGTTCTCTCGCCAACCTGTGTCCCATCGAGATGCTTGGTTGCGTGTTGCTCATGAGCATGATTAGTCAAGTGGGTGCTTGGTACCATGTGCTGGAGTCATCCTCGAGCTCCTGTCGTCGCTCCTTCACTCCAACCAACCAGGCTCATTCACCCCTCACCTTTCCTCTCTTCCCTACCCCCATCATGTCCAACTCCGCATGACAGTCTTAATCACGCCCCCTCTCGTCACCCCCTCCCTTCAACCGACCTCCTGAGTCCAACACTCTCTCTCACCCCTCTCCTGCCCGCCCTCTCCTTCCCGCCCTCTCCTGCCCGCCCTCTCCTTCCCGCCCTCTCCTGCCCGCCCTCTCCTTCCCGCTCTCTCCTGCCCGCCCTCTCCTTCCCGCCCTCTCCTGCCCGCCCTCTCCTTCCCGCCCTCTCCTGCCCGCCCTCTCCTTCCCGCCCTCTCCTGCCCGCCCTCTCCTTCCCGCCCTCTCCTGCCCGCCCTCTCCTGCCCTCCCTCTCCTTCCATCGTCTGCCCCCCCTCCTTCCCTCCCCCTTTTAGGTCCTAGCCGGCGTGGTAGTCATAATCACGCTCCCTCTCGTCGCTCCAACCCTTCAACCCGCCTCCTGGGTCTTCGGCCACCTTGATTTCAACACCTCCAACACCAACCTGCCTAGCAACGTGAGTCTCACCAACCCTACTGGCCGAGTTTGGTGCTCCCCTTCCCTGCCCTCCACCTTCTGGTGTGACACCTCTACCATGATCCATCTCACCAAGGACCCGGTCTTCCATGACTGCTCTAAGCTCATTGAGCACAGCATGGTCCAGCATGGTCCAGCATGGTCCATCATGGTCCATCATGGTCCAGGCCTCTTGCTAACAGGGTAATTACCCTTAATGTCGAGAAATTAAGAGTAACTTCTCAAGTGATTCCTTTTTTTTACAGTGCGGTTTTTTTCCGAATCCGTCCAACTTACGGAAACAATTTCGCGCGATTCCTTAGCCTAACGAGTAACTTTTTTTCGAATCCGTACGGGCTTTACTTGTAGCAGGGCAATCTGTAGGGGGTAACGACCCCCCCACCCCCCCCCCCCCTCCCCCTCCCTCCCCCCCCCCCCCCCACCAACCCCTCCTTTGATCACTTGCTAGCCGAATTTGTAGCGGCCGATTCCTTTCGGTAACGGGTTTTTTTGGGGGAATTCCGTCTGTTAACAGGTGATCCTGAGACGATTCCGTCCCCTTCCGGAATACCCTTGGGCTTAGCGAGAGGCCTGGCATGGTCCATCATGGTCCATCATGGTCCAGCATGGTCCAGCATGGTCCAGCATGGTCCAGCATGGTCCAGCATGGTCCAGCATGGTCCAGCATCGTCCATGCGAGCATGGACACTCTAAGGAGATCGAGCTGCTGTATTTAGGTTCTACATCTGGGAGCTTATCCAGCAAGGTCATCTGGGAGCTTATCCAGCAAGGTCATCTGGGAGCTTATCCAGCAATGTCATCTGGGAGCTTATCCAGCAAGGTCATCTGGCGGTCTGCATGAGGGTCGCTGACATCAACCTTGCCGATGTCTTCACCAATGCGCTTCATTAGATCGTCCATCCGTCCCTTATCAGCTTGTTCGGCCCTGCCCCTCGTTAGTCCCACCAATATGTTGGGCTTGGTCAAACCTCGTCCACCTAGATTTGGCCTCGTCTCGTGTCGAGCCGTCTATCTCCTGTGCTATCTTTTCCCTCCCCCCCCTCTTCCCTCTCTCCTGGGCTACTTACCCCCTGCTAGTAGGCCACTTAAGGCCCCAGTACACCCTCTACGCTTTCGACACTAATGCTCGCTCACACCACATTTTGAGGCCTCTCCAACCTTATCCACATGCTGCTTCTATCCCCTGCCTCACCTTTTTTTTATAGGGGTACGCGGTGCTAGTGGGTCTGCTCATGTCTCAGTACGCCCTCTATTCCTTTGACACCGGAGCACATGCCTCAGAGGAAGCCAAGCGGTCAGACGTCACGACGCCCATCGCCATGGTGGGCGCGCTGATGCTGGTGTCGTTCCTGGAGTGGGGCGTGGTGGTGGTGCTCACGTTCTGCATTCAGGACGAGGCGAGTCTGCTTGATACGGGGAACGTGGCGGGTGGCAAGCCCGTCATTCAGATCCTCTGGACCGTGTTTCACGGAAGGTAAGCAGCGCAGCACCGCACTGCACCGCAGTCGCGCTGGATTTGTTCCTGGAGTGGGGCGTGGTGGTGGCGCTCACATTCTACATTCAGGACAAAGCGAGTCTGCTCGACAAGGGGAACGTTTCTAGGGGGCAAGCCCGTCATCCCGACACCACTCTGGGCGGTCTTCCATTGAAGGTGAGGGGGAGAGGAGCTCACAGCACCGCACTGCATCATGCACCAAAGCACAGCACAGGTGTGCTGAACAGCACAGCTCGATTCAGCCAGTTCGGTAAAAGCTTCCAGGTTCTTGTGCGCGGTGCCAGAAGAACCCCTCAATTCCTCTGCTTCCTTCCTCTTGTTTCACCCCCCCACCAGGAGTGGGAGCACAGCAGAGTTGTATCATGTATTTCTTCATCTCCCCCCATCTGATACCCTCTGCCCTGAACCCAATCCTTTCTATTCCCGTGTGTTTGGTTGTCCTCTGTTCCATCCTCCCACCCCACCAGGTATGGCAAGCGCAGCACAGCAGGGCTGTATGTCTATCTTCGTCTGTTAGTGCGGGGTGTTCATGTGCAGTGCAGTGCCACCAGGAAAGCCTCTTTTTAAGGCGCCTCAAGAATAGACTCTGCAGGACAGCAACAGTGTATGTCTGTGGTCATCTGTTAGTGCAGGGGTGTTCATGTCTCCCCAGAAAAGCGCCTCAGTTGTTTTCTCTTGTCCTCACTTCCATCCCCCCGCCCGCCCCACCAGGTATGGCAACGCAGCAGGGGTGTATGTCTTCGTCTGCCTCTTCTTCTCCTCCTTCTTCTTCTGCACTGTCACCTTGGTCTTTGCTGCGGCACGAGTGGTACGTTACGTTCATCGTCCTTGTCACCAAATCTGCTCCTCCATTGCAAGGCCATGTTTTGCTCCAGTGCCTTCATCTGCCTCTTCTCCTCTTCCTTCTTCGTCTGTACCATCACCCGTGTCTTCGCTGCGGCACGTGTAGTAAGTTCACTCTCCGCTGAGTCGCCTGCTTCGTTCAGCACCATGCTTCATAGTCTTCATCCGCCTCTTCTCTGCCTCCTGTACTGTCACCCTCGTCTGCGAGGCAGCACATGCGGTACGATCGCTCTCGTTGTAATCACATCCCTTCATCGTTGAATATTATTGATGATGTCATTGATGATGTCATTGAAGATGTCATTGATGATGTCATTGATGATGTCATGTCTACACATGCTTTCGTCGCACATGGCTCTCCTCCTTTACCCTTTCTTCTCTCCCTTTGCCAAACCCCCTTCCCCTTGCCCTTTTTTCCCCCCCCTCTTTCCCCCCTGCGCTTCCCCCATCGCTACATGCTAGCCCGTGACAGGGCTCTGCCCTTCTCCTTCCTCTGGCAGTGCGTCAACATTGAACGTGCCTCAGATCCTTCTGTCCCATCTCCCTCCATTCTCCCTCTCCCCTCCAGGGGTACGCGCTAGCCCGCGACAAGGGTCTGCCCTTCTCCTTCCTGTGGCGCCGCATCAACAAGCGCAAGGTGCCCGTGAACGCGCTCATGTGCACTGTGGGCATCGCCATCGTCGCCCTCCTCCCCCTCCTCGGCGGCAGCACCGCCTACTTTGCTGTCACCGGCATGGCGACGGTGGGGTGGTTTGGCGCGTACGGGGTTCCCATCTTCTTCCGCATTCTACAGCACGATGGGGACTTTGTTCCCGGGCCCTTCTACCTGAGGAACTATTTCGGCAAGTTTGGAAGGTAGGCGACCGCCACACTGGCATGCCCACAGGCATGGTGGGGCTGTTCTGTTTGGTGCGTACGGGGTGCTGCCGAGGTGATTTTTGAGTCGCATCAGAAGTCACCTTGCCGCAGGACGCCGCTGATTTCTCTCGATTCTGTTTCATCTACCTCGGGTGTTTCTTCTGCAGGTTTGGGAAAGTAAGCCCCAGTGACGTCAGGGGCGCGCGTCCTCGTCTCTTTCTTCCCCGTCATCTCCCCATCGTCTCCCCATCATCTCCCCATCCGCACCAGACAGGTGTTTGGTGCAGTGCAGCCTCTGTTACGGTCCTGCCCATTTCAACATCCTTCTGAAAAAATGTTTCTTCTTCTCCCCACTTCCGTGTCGCCAACTCCCCTCTGCAGCAAGTGTGTCCACATCCTCGCGCTGCTCTATGTGGTCTACACTATGGTGGTCTTCATGCTCCCAACCGAGTACCCTATAGACTCAGAAAACTTCAATTATTCGCCCATTGGCCTCGCCATTTGCGTCGGGTTCTTCCTCCTATGGTGGATAGTCGACGCCCGTCGGTGGTTCAAGGGCCCTAAGATTGTACGAGATGAAGATGCGGACCCCACTCGACCAGGAGGCATGGCAAAGCTTTTCGAATAGATCCGTTTGTAGCATTTCATGCTTCTCACATGAGTACTTCTTTGGCTAGTAGTGTATTTAATTGAACATTTGCCTTGCCAAATAATGCACAACTCGGCGTAAAACGCGCTGTGGGACCATCCTTATTAGATTGGAGAGCATGCTATACATTTCTGTAACAGAAAGAATGAATGACTAGAGTGGTGAGATACAAGGCAATATAGTCTAGAGAGTTGTACCCACTAAGGCACAAACATATATAGTCTACAGTAACTGCATAAGCTATGTTTAACACACCCCCTAGACTATATAGGGGCAGTGCCTAACAAGGGAAGAAGCAGCTCAAGGCGGCACTACTAGTCCAGCCTCTGAGACAAGGGTCTAAAGACTAGTCAAAGGAATACAGACAAGGCAAGAGCAAGACCAGGGCGGCACTACTAGTCCAGCCACTGGGAGAGGCCACAAGGCCAGTCAGGGTAAATATATATATATATATATAAAGGACAGTACAAGGTCAAGACCCTAGCAAGTGAGAGGCTACAGGAACAAGACCTAGCTGTACACAGTGCCGCTGATGATCTTTAGGTGCAAGTGCATTCGTAAAGATATCAGCTGTCTTGGCACCGGAGGCCAAGTGTACTACGCGCGCCTGGCGGCGCTACTGGAGCTCACGCAGGAGGAAGTACCGCAGCTGGATGTGCTTCACTCTGCCCTCGAGTCGAGGCTACTGACACAGGAGGATCATGGCCCTGTTGTCAGCGTACAGGACCGGGGCAGAGCTAGGCCGCTCACCTAAGTCAGTGAGCAAGAAGGTCAGCCAGCGGAGCTCCTGTGCCGCCATGGCACCGGCCTAGATCTTGGCCTCACAGCTGGACTGGGCAACAGACGAGGAGCGGGTAGCTCTCCACGAGACGGCACCTGAACCAAGGCTGAAGCAGTAGCCCTGCGAGGACCTGAGGGTCTCGGCGTCGTCTGCCCAAGAAGCGTCTGTGTGTCCAGTAAGGACCACTGGCCTGCGTCCTCCTAGCACTAACCCCATGCCCGATGTACTTGCAAGATAATGCAAAACCCTCTTAGCGGCAGACCATTGTTGAGGTCGATGTCTGCCTGTAGCCACAAAGCGAGCCAGGATGCTGAAAGGGTATGCGAGATCTGGGCGAGTGCAAGTCATCAGGTACATAAGGCAACCCACCAGCTAAGCGTAAGGACCACTGGGCTCTGCAAACTCCTCAGGAACTGGAGCGGAGAGCCCGTGGTCTAGGGGCAGAGGAGTGGGCTGTGTGGAGGAGAACTGAAGGCCGAACCTCTGAAGGACCTGGCGCACCAAGTGTGAATGAGTCAAAGTGATAGTGCGCGCTGCTCTGTCCCCGGAGATCTGCAAGCCAAGGTAGTGGCGCAGTTCTCCAAGGTCATTGCAGGTGTGTCTCTTCAGCAGCTCTGCCTTCACGGAGGCCAGTGCGTCCCTGTCTGCTGTGGCGAAGACCAGGTCGTCTACGTAAACAAGGATGTAGAACGGGGTCTGGCCAGCACGAACGAAGAGCGAGGGGTCTGCAGAAGACGGAAAGAACTGCAGGTCAGCAAGCGTGGCACGCAGCGTGTCGTGCCACTCACGGGGAGCCTGCCGCAGGCCGTAGACGGGGCACCGCAGAAGCCACTGGGTCCCAGGAGAGAAGGTGCCAGTGAAGCCCTGAGGGCGGCGCAGGTAGACCTGCTCGTATAGACTGCCCTGAAGAAACGCAGTGGAGAAGTCGAGGGAGTGAAGCTCGTAGTCACGCTGAGCTGCTACGTGTAGTAGCACCCGAAGAGTAGTCATCTTCGGGGTCGGAGCGAAGGTATGGAAGAAGTCCACCCTCTCACACTGACTGAAACCTCTAGTCACGTAGCGCGCCTTGAACACAGACGGCTCTCCAGGAGGGCGCTTCACCTTGAAGAGCCAGCGGCCATCGACTACGTTCACCCCAGGTGGGGGAACTGCGTCGACGTAGATGCCGGTGGATCTCCAAGATGCCACCTCCTGCTCCATGGCAGCTATCCACTGAGAGGCCCAGGGTCCCGAGACCGCCTCAGCGTAAGTGCGAGGGGTCGGGATGTCGAAAGCGTCGAGGTCACCCTCAGGGACTAGAAGCATAGAGCAGAGATGGGGAGCAGCCTCGGACAGGAAAGCAAGCTCGTACTTGCGGTCCTCCAGGACGTCACTGCTGAGGGCAGGAGCACCCTCGACAGACGGAGGACAGGCAGGGTCAAAGATCAGAGCGGTGGCGTAGTCAAGGCGGCGGATAGAGGCGAAGTCAGCGACTGCAGGGACAAGGGCGTCAAGACTCGAAACTGGAACAGACAGGTCAGTAACGAGGGAGGCAAAGACCCGAGGAACAAGTGGACGAGCGGCATGCAAGTAGTCAGACAGAGGGGGGGGAGCAACAGCAAGGGAGGACGGAGGGCGCGACTGGAGGAGGGGAGGACGAGACGCGTGGGAACGAAGCAACATAGGGTGAGAGCGCGAGACAGGGGAGACAGGTCGAGCACGGGAGGGGCGGCGAGACCAGACATGAGACGGAGGAGTCGGGGCAGGAGATAGAGGAGGGGACACAGGAGGGGAACGAGGGGGGAAACGGGCCGGAGACGAGTCCGGAGGAGGGAACACAGGGCCAAAGACAGGAGGAGGAGGAGGCACGGGCACGGGGTCAGGGGACGGAAGGCCGAGCAGACGAAGAGCGGACACCGGCGGGGACTGCTGCAGCGGCAGTGTGACACCGACACCGGGACCGCAAGCGGCCTGGCGGCTACCTCCAGAACACTCCACGCCATCACCCCCAGAAGGAACACCCCCAGATCTCAGCTCCCAAGCACCGGTACCACCCCCAGGCCCGCCGGGACAAGCCACGTCAGGAGTCCCAGGACTAGTACCCACCCCAACTCCAGCACCCCCAGAGGCAACAAACGGCTGCGGCGGCGGCTGCAACGACGGCGGCTGCGACAGCGGGGGCGACTACGGCTGCAGAGGTGGCGGAGGAGGAGACACCAGAGAAAGGGCAGGCGGCGAGGACTGGGCTGTAGGACTACTAGAGTCAGTAGACTCCTCAACCGGGACAACCGACGTAAGGGGGGTGACGTGAGACACACCAGAGGGGGCAGGACGGGGAGGGGGAGGAGGAGGGGCGGCGACGACCAGGGAAGGGGGGACTAGGAACAGGGGGGGGGTAACCGGGGGACCGCGGTGGGGGAAGCGGCGGAAGAAGGAGACGGACTCGTCAAAGGTGGCGTCGCGGGAGTGAAAGAACCGGTGAGACTGCGGGTGGTAGAAGTGCCAGTCAAACGCGTCAAGGGGGAAGCCAAGGAGGACACAGGGAAGGGTGCGGGCAGTGAGCTTGTCCATGCCAGAGGCACGAACGTGAGCAAGGCAGCCCCAGACATGGAACGCAGACGCGTCACCAGGTGACCGAGACCAAAGAAGAGTCGGCGAAACCTGAGGCTGCTGGGGGTGCGGCCACAGGTTAAGCTGGTGAGCGGCGTAGCGAATGGCGAACGGCCTCAGAAAATGGGGTGCACCGGCATGGATCATGGAGGTGCGAGCCACCTCCATGACCAAACCGATACGTCGCTCAGCGACCCCATTCTGCTGCGGGGAGTCCGGCAAGGTGAACGTCTGGGTGATGCCCTCCGCACGACAGAAACGACCAAGGACACCAGAGGCAAACTCGCCACCACGGTCAGAGTGGAGGCGCAAGACAGGGAGACCGCGGTGGACACGCACAGCGACAAGCCACGGGATAAGAACGTCAGGCACGTCGGCCTTCCGCTCCAGGGGGAACACGGTGGTGTATCGCGTGTAGTCGTCGACAAGCACTAGGAATTAGCGCTCTCGACGTGGCCCATGGACAGGGGCGGGGCCCCAGACGTCCATGTGCAGAGTCTGTAGCGGTGCTGCGGTAGGGGGAAAGAAGGAGGAGTGAGGGGCACGGCGGAGCCGGCCCTTGACGCAGGGCGTGCAAGATTGGGCTGGGGAGGGAAACTCAGGAAACGACCCGGGGAGGCCTAGGACGAGACCGTGCTGTGACATGTGACGCAGACGCGGGAGCGCAGGGTGACCGAGGCGGTGGTGCCAGAGAAGGGTCGGGTGGGTAAGAGACCGACAGGAGCAGGCATCAACAACCTGAGGAGACGCAGCTACCTGAGGGGGGGTCCCAGTCGGGGTCGTCACCGTGTCCAGTGTGAAAAGACCGGACACCGGGTCCCGTGGGAACATGGACAGGGGGGCACCAGTGGCGGCCTTGGTACAGACAGCGTACCGCTCGTGACCAGGGAACGTAGTGGTGACGCCAAGGTCCTGAAGGCAGCCGACACCAACTAGGTTCCTGGAGAACGAGGGGATGTGCAGACCTGTGAGCGAGCCCGAACGAAGCGCCGAGCAGGGGAGGGTGGTGGAACTGCGGGCAACTACAGGGCCGGAGGAGGGGTTAACAAGAGAGACTGCAGCAGGGACAGGGAGCGGTGTCAACGTGGTAGAGTCGCGGAAGAAGCACCGGGAAGTGCCAGAGTCCAGGGTGAACGAGAGCGCGGCAGTGGCGGCTGGAGGCGAAGCAGCGACGGATGCACCAAGGCTAAACAAAGCAGGGGATCCTACGCCTGATGCAGCAGGGGAGTCTAAGCAAGACACGCCTACACTAGGCAACAAGGGGTAATAAGACGGAAGCACACTAGAGTCATCAGCATACATCACATGCAGAGCAGTACCAATGTCATCCATATCCAGATAAAGAATCTGAACCCTACGACAATGCAAGCTGTGCCAGTCTGGGAGCTCGGGCGACGGGCCGAAGCGCTGACGAAACAGGTCGTCCAGGCAACGGAAACAGCGGTCGGAGGTGTGGCCGATCTTACCGCAAACGAAGCCACGACGAGGACCGGTCTGGAGCAGGTACTGACAGCGCGCGGGACTTGAACCACCACTCGGCAGCCCACCACGCGCACCATCACCACGTCCAGCGCTACCACCAGCGCCAGGCCACCCGGGCGGGAGACCACTCGCCCGTCTCGGCTGCTGCTGCGACTGCTGCGGCTGCTGCGGCTGACGCGGGTCCAGCGGCTGCTGAGACGGCTGCTCGGCTGCACCTGTCAGGGTCCCCTCGTCCACACCACTACCAGGGGACCCAGCTCCTGCACCACCTACACCTGCACCCCCACCC